ACACGACTCAACAGTTTGTGTGAAAACTTATTGAATGAAATGAAATTACTTCATAAGTGCCTTATTATATGCTTTTAAATGTTATTCTTAAGCCGTGCCTTACAGTCAACTCCCGGTATAATCAAACGATTAATAGCTAAGTATCTGTATTCTTAAATAATCAGTAAACAAAAAATTAAATATAAATTATTATCATTATATTTATTTATAAAAGTTCAAAGCATAATAATTAATTGTAGATAGGTACAATATTGGAGATCAAATATTTAAAATTATTGTTCATTACTGTGTTTTATCGCCAAAAAGTATTATTCCATTCATTCATAGCATTCATATTTCATGACTTAATAGCATTTTGAGTGAACAAAAAACAGTGAATTTGTTTGCATGTATTTTAGGCGCACTCGAAGGCCAGGTATGATATAGTAATGTATAGTCTAATGAATTATTAATAGAAAGTGTTGTTAAATATATTGTATACTTCGAGCCGTGATTTGTTTAACGCAAACACAGATTCATATCAAACAATATATAAATATTTTTGTTATTAACTATATTTCTAATTAATTAATGACTCGATTCTTAAGTATATTTTAAGAAATTATAAGATTTGTGTTATTTTTACGTTCAAAATAAGATAGAAAACACATCTTTGTCCCAATATAAAATCAAACATATTTATAAAGTATCTTGGTAATATATTTACTATTTTTATAATGCATGTATAAATTTAGTGCCAAATGTTACGTATTTGAATAAAATATTTTACTCAGAATTGTTAGAAATTATGACAAATATGGAAAACAAAAATAAAATACTATTTAAATGTGTTTTGAGTTTATCTGTAAAAAACAAGTTTACGACTCATTATTACATCACTATTTGTGCCCAAAAATAACTGTTTAACGCTTTTAATTATTCCCGTTTCCGATCTCTCTCTCTCTCTCTCTCTCTCTCTCTCAAATATTTTACTCAGAATTGTTAGAAATTATGACAAATATGGAAAACAAAAATAAAATACTATTTAAATGTGTTTTGAGTTTATCTGTAAAAAACAAGTTTACGACTCATTATTACATCACTATTTGAAAGGAAATTCAGAAATGTCACCTGGGTGACACAGAATAATGTTAGCCTATGAGAGTTTTATAATCGAGATATAGGAGCAGGTGACTCTTAATCTAAATTGTAACCTCTCTATAAGAAACGGCCAGTTATATGGCAAAAGTGTTTCTTATAGGGAGGGTTTCTCCATAGGGAAGGTTTGTATATAAATACGTTAAACAGCATATTATAATTGTTATTCTGTTATTAAAAAGTTTCTGTGTTAATAATTCTATATGCAATATTATATAAATTTACTGTATATTGTTTGTTGTATTTGTGCAGTAAATAAGTTTTAATTTTAAAGAAATTAATTAATTTTTAAATAAAATATTACTGATTTTAGAATTAGTGTTTTTATTACATGTTTGAATAATTTATTGGACTTCAACAGATTGTTATAACATAAAAGGTAAATCTCGACTTTTTAGTTACAATACATACAATATTGTTTGTATTAAAATCAATGAACAAAATATTTTACAGTATTTCAAACAGAATATGTTAAATATATAATTATTTATGTAATTATAAAAAATAAGATTGTGAATAACTTAGGAACTGATGAATCTGACACCGTAAATAACCAAGGGCAAATACCACCAGCTTTGCATGAGTGCAAATTTTAACCAAATGGGAGCCAATATGACTAAAACGCCGTTCAAACACTCCATAGCCTGTGACTTAGACTCAGACACGGATTCGCCAGTCTTTTGCCGTCGGCTTTCAATGATCTCTTTGGAGGCTTTTTTCAGATCATAAGCCCATCCGATATACGCGAAGAAGTCGATGAAAGCGGTCGCCGGATTGAACACACGCTGCCAACCAAACTCGGACGCAGAGTAATCCCTATACACATCACATATTCATATAACCGTTAAATCAATTATTATCATTATTGTATAAATATAGTCAATGTATAAAAAACAATACCATGGAAACGTGTGATGGTAATTATGAAAACCTCCACCAAATATAAAGTTTTTCATATTGGCCTCAACGGGTACTATGTTTTTATCGTAAGGCTTTTCGATGCAAATATAAAATATATGAATAATATGATACAATTAATGAATCTAGTTGACACAATCTTCATGCACCAACCTTCATTCCCCAGAGATGTGCCACACTATTGACACACCACGTGATGTTGAGGACGTAAGTATAACGGGTGAGAACGCACACAAACCACCCGTTCCACAGCGTCTCACCCCAGAGATAGTGGGGAACGTATGTCGGAATCAAACCCCATATTAATAGCACAAGCGGTATGTAAAACGCGCGCTGAAATCTTATGACCGGATCGTTGGCCAAGTCGTCCATATTTATGGTCTTTCCTTTGGCCTTCACTTCCGGATGTTTTCGACTCAAAAGCCAACCGACGTGTGAGAAGAAGAACCCGCGCCGCGAGTTGTGTGGGTCGGCGTCGGTGTCGCTGTGTTTGTGGTGCAACCGATGGTCACGACTCCACTCGTATATATCATTCTCGAGGGCCAAAGTGTTAAATACCATAAGCAATATTTGAAGTGGGAGTCGGGCCTTATAGCTCCGATGACACCAAAGCCTATGGGCTCCACACTATAAATACAGACATTTCTATACAGTACTATACAATCATTGCTTTACGTTATATAACGTTATATACCATTAATTAATATCCATTTTAATATAATTACTCTAATATACATATAATAATTAATACTTTTCAATTATTTTTCATTAAACTATTTTACAATTTGTATTTTTTTTGTATCTAAAGTGATAATCACTTAAAAATTCGAAAACCTCAGCAATCAAATTTTTAAACAATATTTGATCATTGTTATTTATATGCTTGTAAAATATATACCGTAATACCAAACGAAGAGCAGATCGCAAGCACATATGCAAATATATATGTGGGCCACGAAACCACGTTTATCGCTAATATTATGCCATAAATGCTAGAAATATGTAATATAGACATTAGGATGATATTACGCCAAACCAAATCCCTTTTAAACGGTTTAGCATCACCGATCATATCTTGGTTAGCAGCGCGCATATTATTAGCTATAATATCCTCGCTCACTTTAGCCTCGTTCGCTGTCCTACATATGAATCCAAATATTAAATTGAGTATACAGAAAACAATCTAGTTAATGTTGCTTACATGATTAAATAAATAAACAAAACTAATTATTGAATAAACTAAAATACTATAATTAAAAATATTTTTAACTAAAGTACATACATGTAAATTTTGTTCAATTTGCTCACTATTTATACACTATTGCTATACCAAAATGACCATGCTGCAATTTTTGTATTGAATTTTGTTGTGAAAATAACCACTAATTATATCAATCATAGTATGTGATTTTCTAATTATTTTGTATTGTTTATAGGTTTGTACGCTTGTGTGTATGTTATAAGCGTTTACAATAATCTTAGAAGTCCGTAATTAATCATGGGCAATAAATCACCATAATACTTGACATTTACAAAATGTATGATATAATTATAAGACATATCTACATCTATTGTTTGTTATTTACGTAAACATGTCACTCAATTAATTGCTCATCAATTTTAATTATTTGATTTTTTACAAAACTGTCAATTCATGTTCCCTATGATCTAAGATTACTAATCTTGTAAAAATTAAGTATACAAAACAAAACAATTTAACTTAAGCTCAATGTTGTGTTTATTAAATAAAAAATTTATGGCAACATTACGTAAATTTTATTAGCATTTAAGACCATTTGAAATGAGTGGGAATTTAATTATACATTGTTTTTATACCAAACAAATCACATAATATTATACTAAATTAATTACACAACATATTATACTAAAATACAATATTAGAGCTTAATGTCTAGGAAAACAATTATATAACACTATTATTAAAATATTAATAAATTCAACACTAATATCAGTCACAAAATACTCAATTGATTTCGTATTTAAAACTAAATGCTTTGGAGAATTAAACACTGACAATGTTGATAATAATAAAACACATGTATGTTTGGGACACATGTGGGACACTAGCAATTGACTGTCGTTACTTCACATACATTACTTTACATGCTGTATATGATTGACGCCGAGACACACATCTAGTGATCACATTTTTGTTTGATTGGTTTTATTCTTTTGGGTCTTTCCAGTGGTCTTCAGCTGAGTTGTAGTGGTCTTAACGGTTGTGGTGAATGTGATCCTAAGGACGCCGTTATGTATTGTCATTGCTTTCATTTCGTTGAAATAAGTGGCGAAGAATGGCGACAATAGGATCAGGAATAGCCACTGAGCCATTGCACTGATCACATGCGGCACATGTCCGTCATCTTTGGCGTCCCAATGGAGTCTGTGTTTGGTTTTGGTATTCTTGGTCACAGCGAACGCCCAAATGCCACAAACCAGTGATATTACAAATAGTATCAACAATATGATCGAGATTGTTAGTCGAACCTTTGCTATCACTTTGGTGGTCACCTATTTACCATAATTCATATTATTTACCATTATATTATTTATTAGAAGTTACTAGTTTTAAATCAATAGTTGTTTTATAATAAAAGGAAATTAGCATTTATTCGCTTACTTGTGGTGCGAGTCTTAATGACAGCCAACTCTTGAGGGAAACGAATACGAGAATTGCGATGAATAGAGTAATGCAAACAATTGGATGAATGATTGGGAATTCGTCGGATCGGAAGCTGACCACTGATGTCAGGGCCAGCACTATATAAATGGCTATATATAGTGACCATCGGTTGAATTTTAT